AATCGCTGGTGCCATCTAGTTTCGATTTCTTAATTGCCAGTTCGTACACAATACCGGAAAGGTCGCTTGCCGCAGGGCTGTGAAACTTGCCTGGATATCGTCTCACGCTGGTGTTGCTCGCACGTCCCATGGCTTGAAATTCCCTTCACGAGTTCGTTATACAATCACTTACCTTCCTACCACGCTCACTGGCGCTGAATGGCGGTAATACCTTTAACCTTCCGCGTGCAGGGAGTTAAACGACCGCTTGCGGCAAGTGAGGGGGCAATTATCCCAAGCTCACAACTATCATCCGAGGCTTGCAACATAGTGCTAAAGGGGTTGAGCATCTATCAATATGCGGTTTATACGGTTTTCTCTCACACTAATTTGTCGTTATGTTGACCAGACCACACACTAGAAGTTGAAGGGACGACGACGTTTCGGTCCGTCCTGGACCATTCTCAAGTCGATTGAGAATGACCATTCTCAATCGAAGAATGAGGACGGAGAATTCGCCGTCCTGGACCATTCTCAAGTTTGTCGTTATGTTTGCAAATAAAAAACAAACCTTCTGTTTGATATTTTAGTTTCTTAATATAATTTAAAGAAAATTACGTTTTCTGTGGTGCCCTACAAGGCTTTATTTTGGGATCTATCTTCTTTGTAATATATAAAACGACACTGATGAAAAGTCTCTACTACCATTCTTAATCTGAGGATGATACAAAGAATGTGTGTCCTATGTGTGAATGTGTGAATGTGTGTCATCAACTAAAAGACAGCACGCTAACAGTAGCCTCTCTACAAACGGTGAAAGGACTGGTAACACTAAATTTTTTTTCCTTCCTGGGAAGTGTTGTTTTCTGATTGCTTTTGCTGTCAACGTATAGAACATGGATATTATGTCCTTAAATAGAACATGGTTATTATTTCGCTTTGGGCTGTGCCTGAGACAAGCTTAGGGAAGACTTTCTGATGATACCTGAAGGGTGTCGACTTATGGAACACTGTACCATAGGTTCAGATTAGGAGTCGGCAGCCATATATACTTTATATAGTATAAAGTATATTATACTTTAACGTTTACTACCCAGGAAAAATATACATTGTTTAATTACTTCTCGACATAGACAAATGCACGACTTTCCACGCGAGGCCCAACAATCCACCACCCAGGTATTCACCTGAAAATTCGGCTCTAGAGAAAAAAAAACACTGCTGAGAATTACACCAGCGCCACCTATGTCAACACGACATAGGACACGCCACGCTTCGCACAAGTCACGGACACTACAGTATAATAGAACAACCCAGTATCATCAAAGACTTCAGTGACATCTTCAAGATATCGAGTGATATCCAAACGAGAGACTGCAGCATCAGCCTTGCTGATTCATCTAGGCAGCAGGATGTAAGTCTTATTCAGAATAATGAACCTGTGTGTGTGTGCTCGCTCAAGCCGTTCAACAACGAACTTACTCGACTCTCAAGTTCAACTGACGTAACTCATCAGACAAAACGGGACGACCTTTCAACGTCGTGGGATCCATTAGCTATTCAAGCCAGTAACATCTTGTTCGACTTATCACTGACGACTCTCCATATTTAAGACTTTATAACTGCTCGAGGTCATCCTTGCCAGCGACTGGTCGTTCCTCTGGATACAGCTCTCAACACTTGATTAGCTTCCTGAGGATGTGTGTGTGCGTGTGTTAGAGAAATATATGTAGTTGACATAATAAGAGGACAAATAAACTGAGCTAATAGCTCGATTCTGCAGATACAAATAGTAAATACACACACACACACACACACACACACACACACACACACACACACACACACACACACACACACACACACACACACACACACACATGGGTTAACGAGATGTTCGTCAAGGAACTGCGGTCAGTCAAACATGTTTGCAAACTGAAGCGGCAGGATTGGTGTCAGAGATGCACCGCCGGTGTCGTGTCGGGCGCTCCCTACCGTAGGGAGCGCCCTACACGACACTGTCGGTGCACCTCTCCGTAGGGACCCTTCGGTGGGGACGAGATGACTCGCTCCGGACGACCCTGCCAGGGTAAAAACAAGCGTGGCGCCGGCTGAGTGCCGCGCCGTTCAGCGTGTTGGTCTCGTCGACGCCGCAAGAACTGGCTTCACTTCTTCTCTTGTAAGGCCACACTTCACGCTCTCGCCCACCTAGAGCTTATGGTTGCCCCACCTAATGGTAGCCTTCCTCGTTCACTCGGCTACTGGTGACCTTCAGCCACCTACAGCTGCTCAGAGTGGCCCCCTACCTACGTGGTTCCCACTTTCACCCACCTACAGTGGCTCATGGTGGGCGCCCACCTCAGCTGCGACACACCCATCATGTTGGGTCATCTAGGCCGCGTGTCACAGCCTTGCATCACCTGCCTGGAGGGAAGCGTGAGGCTGGCATCCCGCGCCCCCTAACATGGACACGCTCCCACAGCTGACTCCATACACAGTTTCAAGTGTAGATATGACAGAGCCCGATAGGCTCAGGAATCTGTACACCTGTTGATTGACGGTTGAGAGGCGGGACCAAAGAGCCAGAGCTCAACCCCCGCAAACACAACTAGGTGAGTACAACTAGGTGAGTACAGCTGTGCGTGCGCGCGTGTGCCTCATTTCCATCACATTCTCCACGAGATTTCCCCTCCCATGATCTAGTGGCTCCGTCCTCCACCTTGCTCGCTATTACATCTTAGTATTATACCATCGGCTACATTTACCAGTCACCATCTTTGGTGGCTTCGATGAGACATGAAGCCGTCGGCTAGTCAGTGGTGCCTTGTTTTTTAATAATTACTTGTCAAATACGCTTCAATGACCTATGCTCACAGCAAGAGAAAAGTTGCCTACTATTAGTGCTGGAACCGGAAGAGTTCCAGAGGAGTAATCCATAAGAGTAATCCATTCATAGGTGAGATTTAAAGATGCAGCTTCCTGCTCTGACTTTATGCAAGTGATGGAGGTGGGTTTTGAGGATTTGCAGCACCCCTCTCCAAATGAAGCAGAAGCGACCACAATATGAAGCTGATATCTACTTTCTCGGCCACGAACTAACACAGGAATACTAGACCGCCGGCTCGAGACTGTAACGTCAAATAATAATTTGAATGTAATATGGGTAACCAATTTATTGTAGCCGATTTGTTTGCTAAAATTCCATTTATCATAATTTAATCAGAAAAGGCAGAAGAAAAATATTAACGGAAAAGCACTACAAATAACAGACGAGTATAAAGAACTGGGAATATTGCCTCTCCTTAAGTACCAATATAGCATAATAGTTGACTCTCGGTTTGCTTATTTAGCTTGTTTTGACTGCTGTTTTTGCTGTGTGAAACTGAGTTTGCCTTTCCAGCATCTGCAACAGTCCTGGGGTATGTGTGTGTGGTATGGAAAAAAATAGTAGTAACAGTTGATTGACAGCTGAGAGGCGGACCGAAAGAGCAGAGCTCAACCCCCACAAGCACAACTAGGTGAATACACACACACACACACACACACACACACACACACACACACACACACACACACAGGGCCGGTGGCTGACTGGACAGCACGCTGGACGCGTGATCCTGTGGTCCCGGGTTCGATTCCCGGCGCCGGCGAGAAACAATGGGCAGAGTTTCTTTCACCCTGAATGCCCCTGTTACCTAGCAGTAAATAGGTACCTGGGAGTTAGTCAGCTGTCACGGGCTGCTTCCTGGGGTATGTGTGTGTGGTATGGAAAAAAAATAGTAGTAACAGTTGATTGACAGCTGAGAGGCGGACCGAAAGAGCAGAGCTCAACCCCCACAAGCACAACTAGGTGAATACAACTAGGTGAATACAACTAGGTGAATACAACTAGGTGAATACACACATACAGCTGCAACAACCCACACACAATACACACACACACACACACACATACACACACCTGCAACAGCCCATACACACCACACACACACCTGCAACAGCCCACACACAACACACACACACCTGCAACAGTCCACACACGAAAGTTGGTTCAGTGGCCGCTGTGGTATTACGCAGGTTATCAGAGTAGAACTGCAGTAAGTGAAGACGCAAATTTCCCTGACCTTGAGCGGGAAAGAGTGCGAGACTGGATCGCATCGTGCAGGAACCGTGAGGAAGTTACTGGACTTCGCGTGATCTTCGGTGTCATGCTTCGCCTGTTCTTGACCACCGTGCCTCAAGTGGCTCTACTTAATCTTACCAGAGTGATCAAATACACGTATAGCAGTATGGAAGACCCCGACGGCGGAGGCTGACAATAACTGGCTACATAACACCTCACATAACATTAATTTATTTTGAAACAAAGATCAAGTGGTCATGGTAGTGTGTATAAGCCTTTACGGATTTCCATGACATATGCCAGCGCTTGAAAGTGAGAAGAGCGATGACATCCGCTGCCCAGCGAGCAGTCAACTGAGCGTCCGTGTTCTATAGATAGTCACCAGCCAAAACAAGCGAGAGTAGAAAATTTCCTTCCAGGGGAAAATCAGGGAGAAGGTGCTTGGAACCCGAGGTGTGATGAGTTGAGACTTCCGGACGTACACAACGATACGGTGGACTGTTGGAGGAGGGAGGTGGAGGGGGGATTACAGGTGAAAACTAGCGACAGAGGCGTAAGTGTGTGGCAGTAACAAGCGGGTACAGGTTGGGGTGTTGGAGACAAGGTCATTGCAGCACACCGGCCAGACAATGATGAATATATTAAGAAGATAAGGATTTGTGTCAATCTTTGAGCAGGATGGAGAAAAAAGATTGTCGGTAAAAAGAAAAATAGAAGCTCTACTTGAAACAATAGACTTTAAAGAATTAATTTTTCATGGCCGTGATAATATTTTTTCCATTTACTAGTGGTGGCTCAGTACAGGTATGATCTTCAGCCGTCTAAGTTCTAAATTTGCTTTTGATGTTCAAACTATATCTGAGAGAATTTCTTTAATGCCACATTAAATATTGCGGTCATGTCATCCACACCTGACCACAGTGTTGATCAAATTGGCGGATCAATTATTAAAGACTTTGGTACGCAACATTTATTTAATATATTTGTATAATTTTGCAACTAGCAAGATGCGACACCTTTCCCTGGCGAGTGGTTTCTTGAGCAACAACGGACTCGAGGACAACATTCCGCCGTGGAAGAGCGAAAATGTCAAGTGAAGCGCAGTTTTGCGACACCTCTGGTGACGACGTTTGTGAAACCCCCTTACCTCACCGGGTGATGGTTCGACGCCTCGTAACTACATTACATCATCTCCAGTGGTCATTTCCGAACTGAGACTTACGAAGTTGAACACCTGAGCGTTGAACCTTAACATATCTGGGCGTGGAATATGCTTTATGCTATTTAGAGCGAGTCTTGTTGTCTCGGGACTGCTGATGGACTAGGTTTCGGCGGAGCAGCTGCCATTCTAGGGAGGCTAGACTGCAGGAGGAGGATTTCACTTTGGAATTAGGTGCTAAATGTTGATGCGGATAGAGTTAGCAGCGAAAAAACTCTTCAGCAATAGGATACATGATATGGACTAAGACAAACCTGAACTGATAAAGGGTGAAGTCATAGTAAACTAACTCTAAAGCAATAGTGGAAACAGTATTAACAACACAGTTGTTCAATGGAACTCCCACAACAAAAATACGACGAAGCGCACAAACTGGCCCACATCAAAAGGTTATCATCAGCGGCATATGCTAGGTTGGCCAACATAAGAACTGTCTTTAGAAACTCGTGTAAGGAATCGTTCAGGACCCTGTATACCACTTATGTCAGACCAATCCTGGAATATGCAGCTCATGCCTGGAGTCCATACCTAGTTAAACACAAGACAAAGTTAGAGAAGATTCAGCGGTATGCCACCAGACTTGTCCCGGAACTGAGAGGTATGAGCTACGAGGAAAGGCTGAAGGAGCTGAGCCTCACGTCCCTGGAAAACAGAAGAGAAAGGGGAGACATGATAACCACCTACAAAATTCTCAGGGGAATTGACAGAGTGGACAAAGACAAACTCTTCAGCACGGGAGGAACACGAACAAGGGGACACAGATGGAAACTTAGTACCCCAAATGAACCACAGAGACATTAGAAAGAATTTTTTCAGTGTCAGAGTAGTTAATAAATGGAATGCACTAGGAAGTGATGTGGTGGAGGCTGACTCCATACACAGTTTCAAATGTAGATACGATAGAGCCCAGTAGGCTCGGGAATCTGTGCACCAGTTGATTGACAGTTGAGAGGCGGGACCAAAGAGACAAGGCTCAACCCCCGCAAGCACAAATAGGTGAGTACACACACACCAACAAAGCACCAGGCGGGACCTCGGGTAATATCGAAGTCGAAGTTACACCACATTTGGTGTACTTGACTAATATTGATTATATAATTTATTAAGTACTTGAAGACGTACCTGGGTCTGAATGTCACCCCCATCCCCCCCCCCCCTCTCTCTCTCTCTCTCTCTCTCTCTCTCTCTTTCCTTTTATACAAAGAATAGGGTTCAATATGACTGTCAATTGAGGAACCTGGTGAAACTGTAAGCAAGAGCTGTTATCCTACCTCAGAAGATCTGAGATAGGATAACTGTGCACCATTAGGAAAAAAGCTTTATTTAAATCTAAGTAATAATCATATAAAGAGCAGGATGAGGCAGTAGCTAAGTGATCTCAGTAGCTCAGTGGTTGGTGCAATCGGCTCACAACCTGTTGATACCGAGTTCGATTCTCAGGCAGGGGCGAAACGTTCAGGCAAATTTTCCCACACTCGATACGTATGTTCAGATAACAGTAAAATAGATATCTGGGAGTTAGGCGATTATTGAGGGTTAAAAATAGCTGAAAGGCGGAACCCAGGAACTGAAACTCTTTCCTCTCTCTGTGTATTTACTATTTGGGTCTGGAAGCTCGAACTGTTAGCTCTTGGACCTCACTCTTCTAACAGTCGGCTGTCTAATGTACTGACTCCTGACCTATTTCCCTCTATCATATCTACTACTACTACTACACTATTGACCTCATTGCTGAATGATTCGGACAGCGCTCAGGGGTCTTTGTGCTAAGGGTCTGGTTTCGATTCCCGGCCGAGGCAGAAACATAGGGATATAGTTTAGTTCACCCTGATCCTCCTGTTCATCTAATAGCAAATAGCCGAATAAATTATTCCAACGGTATTTTCCTGTACCCTGCCAGAGACTACTTTTTTCCAATTTTAATCTCTCTATTTCCATCCAAGAGATCTTGTAAATCTGAGACAAAGTGAAATGTACATTAGTAATTCCATCTGCCATTGTACTATCAGGCAAGAAGATGCACACATCCGTCGATCATTAATTGCAATCAGCAGACTCCTAGATGCTGCAACTATTCGGCTTAGATTGTCATAAGTATCTCTAGAATCGTGGCATTACCTGCTGATGTAGACTTGACCAAATGTAAACTGCGTCAGCAAAAATTATTCGCACACTCTCCGTCACCATGTGATGGAGTGCGAAAAGATACGTGAATTAAGAGAGACAGTATAACGAATGTTCAAGAAATATGTAAATATTTCGTTCCAAATTACCTACTACCAGAAATTTTACCGAAATATTCCCAATTTGCTAACTGTAGGTAGTAAATGTAGGTGACTGTAGTAAATGTGGGAAACTATAGTAAATATGGGAAACTGTAGTAAATATGGGTAACTGCTGTAAATATGGGTAACTGTAGTAAATATGGGTAACTGTAGTAAATGTGGGTGACTGTAACCTTTCCACAGCTGCCCAGTGGATGGGGCAGCCTAACTAATTGTGGGTGACTGTATAATATAATTATTGTCGTTATTGTTATAACAATATATATTAAATTTTGTAGCTAACTTATGAAGACTAAAGCTTGCTTAGGTAGACGACTTTTGGGGTTCAGTCCCTGAGCCCAATATATGCCTCTGTAACCCTTTCCACCACCGCCCACAGGATGGGTATGGGGTGCATAATAAATGACCTAAACTAGACTGACGGCAGTATGACCTGGCGACCTTGAGATTGAAATTGAATTGAAATTAAAATAAGTTTATTGAGGTAAAATACACACAAAGGGATGAGGTAGCTCAAGCTATTCTCACCCCGTTCAGTACATCGTGTTAATACATACATAGACACACATCACAAGCAATAAACGTATTACCAAACATTCTGAGAGATAAACATATACATTTCCTCCTTTACACAATTATTCCTTAAGATGTTTCCTTGTGTGGCGTAAGCCACGTCCCGCTTACGAAGCTGTCATTCCTGTATCACTCAGTATGTTTGGTACGCGAGTTTGTTTAGTTCTGGGATGGTTTTTCTTGTCAACGAATACGCGAACGAATGAATAATTGAAAATATTAAGTAAGAATTAAGTAAGACCACGGAATTGATAGCCTATCCGCCGCAGCTGTGCAAAAGCAGTACTGTTTAAAATTCAATGGAAAAAATTCTCAGGAATAATGGAGAGGACATTTGAGAAGCCGCCGGCTCTCTGTCCCCATCGAGATCACTAAAGATGATGCATGGTCCTCAGGTAAATTGAGGTAAAGTAATAAGTTTTAAACTAGAGACAAAAAAAAAAAGCGTCGGTGAACTGTATACTATAGTCTACCAAATTACATCAACTCCTGGTAACGTTTTCTGTGAACTTGGATACGGACGTAGTTAATTTTCTTCAATACTTGGGTAACTAATATATAAGTTCATTGAGAGGTTTGTTTAACATAAAACATAAACATTTTATTTAGGCAAAAGTACATACATATAAAGGATGTAAGTAGATTGTTGGATTCGTGGGTAGGCAGGTACCTCGCCTTAATCGTTTCAGGCATAATGTGGGGGAAAACTTCAAACTAATTGAGATAAAAAATGACTTCAACTAAATGAGATCCAAATAAAAATGAAATAGAGATAAATAATATAACAATTATTACAATTTTGCTGTTCCATCAATAATGTAACAGCAACAGATAGTAATTTGACAATAAACAGAAGACATTGTATTTTTTTTATACGGCAGATAGCTGCAGCAGCAAAAACAAGTTCAAATTAATGTTCAATAACAGCAAAACATAGTTTGCCATTTAGGAAGTAAGGTAGGTTACATACACACAGAAATCACAATTGCGTGGTGCATCAAATGATGCAACGATTAAGGCAGCGTCTGGGATGCTCTCAGACGCAGGTTCGAATCCTCGTCACGGCCCTTGTGGATTTGTTCGTAGGTTACGTAGTCTATTAGGTATCTCTTAGTTTCTCTTTTAAACTGGTTGAGAGAAGGACAGTCATTGATGTGATTAGGGAGGCCATTTCTTATTTTGGGGCCCTTGGATTTGAAGAGCATTTCTGCTTTGGTTAAGTCGCACTCTTGAAATATGAATAATTCATTATTAGATATTTGATATACTAGATATACTAGATAATTCATTTTAAATAGATATTTGTTTCTAGTAAGGTGCTCATGGGTTCTTCGACAGCCTTCTCGGAAGGATTTAAAGTCAGGATTAGCATTGTAGTTCAGTGAACAAATCCACCAGGGCCGTGACGAAGATTCGAACCTACGTCCGAAATCATCCCAGACGCTGCCTTAGTCGACTGAAATACGACATGGTCAAAAACCATGTCGAAAGTTGAAACCAGAAGTTGGATCTAACTTTCTTGGATCCTGCAGCCTCTCCGAGACACAAACCAGGGTTTTACACAACTCCCCCATGCACTCGAGCTATGTCTATAGACCGTTCTACCTCTTCGCCCTTACTTCATTACACACAGAGATCACAATAGCGTGATGCATCAAATGAACAAATTTGGTCATTTGATGCATCACGCTATTGCGATTTTTGGGTGTAATTGTAGTTCAGTGTTGTATATAGAGTACACTTGAGAGGATATGTAGTGACTTAATATCTAACATATTCAAAGATTTAAGTAAGCTGGCCGAGTGCTTGTTATTCTTCTAATTGCTGGTTTGTGCTGAGCAATTGGAGGTTGTAGATAATGTTGGGTAGTAGAACATCAGGCACAGGTGCCACAGGTGCGATAAGGATAGATGAGCGAGCAATAAAGCCTTACAAGGGGGAAGGGGAACTATCAGGGGAAAGCGCCAAGCAATTACGACTATAGAGCAAGGGGTCAGGATAAGGATTTGGGATGGGACGGGGGGAAAGGAATGGTGTTCAACCACTTGGACGGGCTGGGGATTTAGTTTTTTTTGCTATATTTAATATGCTCAGTATATAGCACTGGAAATTCAACTTATAAATGAGAACAACTTGGAATTCACCATCTACTGTTACTAATGTGGATATTGTAAATTCTCAGGTTAATTTGATCAGTGGATTTAATACTTAACAGAATATAGAAGGGTCTATCAATGTTGTGTGTGAGTTTGTTAGCATTTAGCCAAAGATAGATTTTATTTTTAGTTCAGTATTCACCGTTTCTCATAATAAGAGGTAAGGACTGGAGAAGATGAATAATTATAATAATAACAGTTATTTAATTATGCAATATAATTGAATTAATTGTGTTGGGGGACAGGCAGCCAGAGTGTATTTATACACATTAGGATTTTATCGAGACCCCAACCCCTCCTTGATGTCAAATTACTGACCCCGCCCAGGATGCAACCCCACAACATGCTGACTAACTCCTGGGTACCCGCTTACTGCTAGGTGAACAGGTACATTAGGTGATGTGCCCAACCATTTCTGTCCCGCCCGGGATTCGAACCAGAGATTCCCAACTGAGAGTCGAGAACGAAACTGTACGACCGAGACCCAATAACATGTTGCTATGCAATGCCAAAGACAAACTTGAGATCTAGGAAGGTGGTACATGATTTTTTAGTGTGCAGGGTGAGAAATGTGGTCATGCAACGATGCACACCAGCATGAAGTCATGTGTCTGGGGGAAGTCATGTGTCTGGGGGAAGTCATGTGTCTGGGGGAAGGGGGGGGGGAGAACATGGTTCTTATTCTGTGGAGGAGACGATTTATGACAATTCTTTCGAATGGTTTACGAAGGCAGATAGTAAGGGAAACTGGGCGGAAAGCATTCACTTGGTTAGACTTGGAAATCGTAATTAGTTTTAATAGCTAAAAACAATGGACAATTCAATGGTAACACTACAGCATTCAGTACCTTTCAATGGCAGGGGCAGGAATGTCTGACGAAGGGCTTAGCTATGGTACACTATGGTACACTAAGCGAGATAAGGGAGTGCCTTGATTAAGCGGGGTTAGAGCATCGTTGGTGCTCCTTCGGGGTCTGAGGCAAAAATTGCTAATAATAGAACCGAGTTATGGGATGGGAAAGTTCTCCGCCTGCTAAGAGGAGTCAGCTGTCGTGTGTTGCTGTACTACGCACCTCTGTAAACAAAACCCCCGCATGTCAGGGGCCTCCTCGGCGTGTGGAGGATGGTTACTGGTCTCTACTTGTTTTGTTACTCACAACATGATCTACTTTTTTAGTAGTACCGTTACCCCTCGGAGGTCTTCCATGGTGTTGGCTCCCGCTCACACACACACCAGTACTTTCCTAAATTAGGAATAACTGAGATTAGTTTTCTGCTTTGGGGACAAGATATAGAACTGGTATAGTTGCCTGCAACATTTACATTGGCTTGTATTTAACACATTCTGCGTGGAGTTGTTCCTATTGTCGAAGAAATGACTATAAGTTCAGGGATTGTTCATGTGAGTGATAGTATGGATATATGGTCTTCAGGAAGTTCTATTGCTTCATTAGTAAAGTTTATCATTTTTGGAGAATTAAATGTAGTGTGTTTAGTATAAAAAATCAATACAAATCCATAGGTAATAGTTTGGTTAGCCTGGGACAGTGTGAGTGTTACAGAGGCTGTGTCTTCCCTCAGGAATGTATATATATCTACATAGACGTTTTAAACGCTACGTAGTTCATTGTCACAGATTGTTTCTGATGAAAGCTCTTTACTTTCACCTACCTCCCAGCAGGTGAAGGTGACACCCACAGCACTCAACCACTTCCCCCTCAGCAGGTGAAGGTGGCACCAGCAGCACTCAACCCTTCTCCCCCCAGCAGGTGAAGGTGGCACCAACAGCGCCCCCTCTCCCCCCAGCAGGTGAAGGTGGCACCAGCAGCGCCCCCTCTCCCCCCAGCAGGTGAAGGTGGCACCAGCAGCGCCCCTTCTCCCCCCAGCAGGTGAAGGTGGCATTACCTGCCCTTGACCCAATAACTGGCTGCCTTCCCCAGTATCATCTTCGTCAACACGTTGCGCTCACAAGACTAACTCCTCTTTTACCAGATGTCCCAATATTGTCTTATTCCCTTTTACTGTAGGCACTTCCTTATTTTTAGCACGATTAAGCTCCTTGAAGTTAATGGCAGAGGGGCTGGCGTTTCAATGTTACCTACTTGATCGCGTTGTTAATATTTGTTCCTGCAAGCCAGGTCTCGGGAGGCAGTGAAGCATGCGTGGAGGTCTCAGCATGCCATAAAGACTCCTCTTGAAGGGGTTTATGCTCAAAATGTAACTTTTGCGACGGAAGGAAAAAAAATATGTAAATATTATTTTAGAACGAGAAAGCCGCTGCATCTGTTTGATATTTGTGGCCCGGGGTGTGGAGTGGCCTGGGGTGTGGAGTGGCCTGGGGTGTGGAGTGGCCCGGGGTGTGGAGTGGCCTGGGGTGTGGAGTGGCCTGGGGTGTGGAGTGGCCCGGGGTGTGGAGTGGCCCGGGATGTGGAGTGGCCCGGAGTGTGGAGTGGCGTGGCCCCGGGGTGTGGAGTGGCCCGGGATGTGGAGTGGCCCGGGGTGTGGAGTGGCCCGGGCGTGGAGTGGCCCGGGGTGTGGAGTGGCCCGGGGTGTGGAGTGGCCCGGGGTGTGGAGTGGCCCGGGGTGTGGAGTGGCCCGGGGTGTGGAGTGGCCCGGGGTGTGGAGTGGCCCGGGGTGTGGAGTGGCCCGGGGTGTGGAGTGGCCCGGGGTGTGGAGTGGCCCTCTCACCACCACACTGGTCCAGCTCTCCACAGGAAGTCCAACCACAACACTCCGCTTTCCCTCTGATAATTCCCTCCCTCCTTCCACCCACACAGTTCCCCGCTACGGTCAAAATAACTCATCCCAGTTATCATGAGCGGCTAAAAAGTTATTTGGGAAGGCGACTAGTGCGACAGATGGCTAGGGAGAGCGCGCGTGCCAGAGAATGAGCAACAGCGCGTGCGCAGTAACCCGGGGAAACTTCTAAAGGATTAGTGGAACGTTGCACGAATTTTATGGCAGCGGTTGTGATGTCAACCCTCACTTACAACTTACTGTATTTGTTCCGTCTAACACTGTCAAGAAAGCAGTGCTGGAGTAACTGGCGATGGCTGGGATAGTGTACGACGGCCCGTAGGCTTGGCGCGCCTCCCGCCTCGCTATACTTCAGTATCCCCCTTCAAGGTGGCTTTTGTTTGGGTACGGGTGAGTCCTCTTCCGCCACTCGGCTCCTTCAGTACTTTCTGGCTGCGTAACTATGCCAAGAAAAGGTAGTTACATGTTATGCTTTTCCAGCTGCTTGACAACTGTCCAGAGGGAGGGAGAGTCATCCGGATTTGAACATGGTATGTGGATTAGAAAAGTGTTTAGCATTCCACGAGTAAAGATCTACTAGCAATCTCCCACCATACCACGCCCACTCCCCACCATGCCACGCCCACTCCCCACCCTGCCACGCCCACTCCCCACCCTGCCACGCCCACTCCCCACCATGCCACGCCCACTCCCCACCCTGCCACGCCCACTCCCCACCATGCCACGCCCACTCCCCACCCTGCCACGCCCACTCCCCACCATGCCACGCCCACTCCCCACAATGCCACGCCTACTCCCCACCATGCCACGCCCACTCCCTACCATGCTACGCCCACTCTCCACCATGCCACGCCCACTGCCCACCATGCCACGCCCACTCCCCACCATACCACACCCACTCCCCACCATACCACGCCCACTACCCACCATGCCACGCCCAAGACTCGTGAACCAAATAAATTAATTTCTAATGTGCCTTATTTTCTCTCTTGTTGCAGAGTCCGAGACATTGCACCAACTCTCAAGGCAACTTCCAGACTCCAGCGGTGGGCAGGGCGTTTACTGCACTCCACACTTTTGCTTTATCTTGAATACAAGATCCTGTTCCAGTTTGTGACTCTCGTGGAACAATTATCCATTAAAATTATCAGTCTAAGGTCACTTGTTTAGACATTTGGATAAGAAATAATTGTTCTTCCCGGCATTTTCTATAATTTGTCCGAAAATCTTCCTTCCCTGACACTTGGTCTTGGCACTGTAAGGCCTTCCCTTACTGCCTCTGCTGAAGCCAGTTCAACCAGCCTTAGTGAAAGATTTGGTACATCCAAAATATTAACACAAATAGTGAATGAAATGAGCCTAGGAGTTTGACCGTCCCTTGATCGGTGTTAAAGATAATGCCAACAATATATTATTATAAAACAGTTTGATGTACACAGCACTTGCGTCAAAATGTCGCATGTGACTGTGGTAGAGGTGAATGAATCTCTTATTAAGAACTTTGTTGAGGAGGCTGCCTTAAGATTAGGCGTCGAAGATCTGAAGACAACAACTGAGCATAAACAAGAATGCATATTTTGCCAGCGGAGATTCTCACGGGGTAACGTCACCCAAGACAGACTATGCCAGTGCACAGTGTCTAAGACGAACCCAAAGTCCGAAGATTTATATGCGAACTTCAATGAATTACAACAACGTGTCTATGGAATGACAACAGACACACCTTCAACCTTTCCGGCTGAAAGACGTGATCTGCCAAACATTCATACATCGAGGGGACTAGTTAGAAAATGTAGCATTATCGACCAGAATGTTGGGGTGACTGGGGCGGTGTTCATGGTGTCTGACCCTGGCTGCCAACAGCAGCTGGATACTTCCGACGATGAGTCAGATTCTTCACTCACCTCTTCTGTCTCGTCATTATCAGAGTCTGATTCGGGCTTGAGCAACATAATTGAGGTAGAAGGGAGGCCTGCGTCCCACCATGCCACCACCATCGCTATCGGTGAGAACAAACTACACAACCGGCTCCTGCTACACATCCCTGGGGCGACTGAGGACGATAAGAGTAGTGAGTCTCGGGAGCATGGCACCGAGGGAGTCCTCCGGGAAGTTTCCTCATTACAGACTAACGAGGTAAAAGTCACTGATGACTCTACAGACACAACGATGACTCTTGAGTGGCGAGTCATTCCTCCCTCGTCACCCATACTCCAACAACCTGCGCACCTTGAGCTAGAGGGCGATCGAGGCTCCACACCTACTTCCTTCTCCAGCGCCTACACGGTGACGGAGCTGGAGAACGAGAGCACCAGCGAGGACTCTGAGGCTCCACGCCACAACTGGTTAGGCCAAGATTCAGACGAAGAGCTGCAAGGGAATCCAAGAATTCCAAACCGTCACAACCCCGAAGGTGCCTTGCTGTCCATCAGCGAAGATAATTCACTGCCCTGGGGAGACGACAATCAGCACTTGTCGGATACTAATGAGAGTGACTCTGTCGGCAGAATTACTTCCGCCCGTCACATTGTCCTAGATATTACAGGAAATACAATCAAATCTGTGTTGTCTAGAGCGGAAGGCGCTTCCCTAGGGTGCAAGCTCCGCGAGGAGCTATATCGGCTGCGTCATACCTCAGACAGCAGCAGTTGCGGTGGTGATAGTATCGTTTATAGCTACATTCCCTGCCGTGATCAACGGGAAAAGGAGGACGAAGAACTGTGGGTAGCCAACGAAGCTGCAGACCCCGAAGGTAGCCAGATCTTCCATGGAGTAGCACCTCCCCTCTTGCTTCCCCCGTGGGGCTGGGGCGACTCACTCGGAGGTGGGTCTGGCAAGCCAGAGCCAACAAAGCGCGGACCAGTCTGGGCTGAGCAGCTGCGGGCGCCGCACGTTTGTGTGACTGCTCCTTCGTGTGTGTCATCGCTCATGTGTACCCTGGCGCCTTCCCTCGCCGCCCCCGTTCCGGTGGGCACAGAAACCACTCAGCGCAAACACTACTCCACAAGACAGAGAGTAGTCGAACCTCAGATAATTACAGTCGTGGACGAGGAACCAAAGTACAAACAAAACTGGAACAAGCTCAACAATGGTGACACAGAAACCCAGAGTGAAAACCTCCAAACGTCCGGCACGACCAACATGCCCACCAAAAGATTTTCCTTCCTCATCAGGAGCAACAGCGTGAAAAAAGAGAGCGTCACCGATCCCAACTCGGTGCCCGCAGTCCGACAGCCAGTGACCCCTAGTGACCAAGCCATCCTCGACAAGCTGGCCACCCTCAACATAGAGGCGCCAGATATTGTGTTCAAACCCAGGACACGGTGCTCACTCTTCGAACCTCCCTGTGTTCGATGCGGAGAGCCCGTCTACCTTCAGGAGCGCACAGAGCCCACCCTTAGGCTCGTCTACCACAGTTCCTGCTTCAAGTGCCATAGATGTGGGGTTAGGCTCACGCTGAAGACGTTCTTTAGGAGCCCACTAGACTCTAAGGACAGCCGGGTGTTCTGTAAGAGTCACGTACCCTCGTTAGACCCAGGCCGGCTGGACCCAGGCCGACTGGACCCAGGCCGCCCCGACACATCTTCAGGCAAGAGCTCCCCTGACGGCACCAGACCAGACACTCACAGCGACACCTGCAGGGTAAGCCCAACAGCGCCATTTGTAATTATAATAATTCTTTGTTTAAGTGCTATTGGATGCTAGAACTAAAAGATAATGTTTACACTTTCAGTTCACAAGTACAGCACATTGTTGTAAATGTTACGCGGATAATTGGCGGTAAGGTTTCCAGAGTGCGCATGGCCTCGACCCCTGGTAATGCACATTAAAGAATAATAATAGATTTATTAAAAATGGGAACGGTACATTGTATGACTTTTCGTATTTATATTTCTTAAAAAGCCAGTAATTAGTTGTAGAAACAATCGTCATATTCACTCAAGTTTTATATATAGGCCAACTACTGGAAATCTAATTGCTTAGCCCAATTGACCTAACCTAATACCGCGCATTAAACCGGAAATAAGATACCTGCAAGGCTGGCATTGACCGCTACGATCACCGACGGAAGAATACCTGCAGGCAGATGAAACTGCACCTTATTTTCATATCTTAAAAGCATGACTTGCTTCACACACTGTGTGTATATATATCAAGAAGATTGTGCCAAGAGCTGGAACTGTAAACAGGTGGTGCACGGGTGATGTAGGTGTTGTGAAGATGGGTTCCGTGTCTCGCTGACTCATCCAGTTCATCAGGCCGTTAAAGCAGTCACAACAATGACACCAGCAGCCAGCAGCGAGCTTCCCGGTTACCTCCTCCCCCGTGACTGACCTTCCTTGGTATTCGTGCCGGACAGACCAACCCCCACACAAACAAAATTGATACATTTTTATAAATAGTGCTGTTCGATGTCACACTAACCTATTCGATGTAAAAACGTGGGCTTGCCTCTGGAACCTTTGGGCGTGTTGTGCAGCAAGTAAAAACAGCAAAATGATGTGAACTTTGAGAGTTCCTCGCGTATTTTTTTTTCGGAGGTGCATTATTTGTCGAACCTGTTTCCTTAGGTAACATTGACCGCCTTTTATTCCCTATCCTCCTCCTTCACTCAACCTTCCTCAGAGAGCCTAATAACAGATGCACTTCGTTTTATGCGACGGAAATAGCTTGCCTTCACCAGAAAACTTTCATATCGACGCAGAGCTTTTTATTATTTTTCTCAACGTCCGAATCTTAGGCCGTTCACATATGCGACCATTCGAACACGGTGAGGTGGGGGGAAGGGGGGGTTACAGGAACAGCGTTGCCAAGGTCACCGGATCATACGTGTGGTGTGTAGGTTAATAACTCACTTATGTATGAGATATTAAGAGGCTTGTTTAGGCAGTTAAGTGTTTCGGTACACGGAGACAATTCCTTTAATGAGAGTTTCTTAGTCACACATTTTCTTGGAAGGTTTTGGTATTCGATAAGTCGATAGAAAATTAATTATATATATATAATTTCAGGATAAAAAACTTACTTCAAAACGTGGAAGTAATCTGGTCATTAATTTAGTTCAGTTCCTGCAGTGACATCACTCGGAATATTATTAACGCAATATATATGCGGAAGAATGTACGGAGTGTGTAAACTCGGTCATTACAGTGTTGAACACGGCCAAGAGGCTTGGTGCTCTGGTCTATTGTTCCCAGTCTGGATGGTTACTATTGTGGCGTGCTCCCCCTCCGCACGCACGCACGCACGCACGCACGCACGCACGCATATGGAGGGAGGGAATTATCAGGGGAAAACATCTTGTTGTTGTTGTTTTAGATTCAGCTACTCGGAACATAAGTTCCAAGTAACACTGGCTATGGTGAGCCCGTAGTGGACTTACCTGGCACAGGAGCGGGGCAGGTAGCACGGGCTATGGTGAGCCTCGTCTCTGGCGGGGAAAACATTGATTGATGATTGATGAAGATTAAGCCACCCAAGAGGTGGCACGGGCATGAATAGCCCGTAAGTGGTGGCCCTTTCGAGCCATTACCAGTATCAAAAGATGATACTGGAGATCTGTGGAGGCGCAACTGCACCCTGCGTGACGGGAGATGTCTCCCGGACCAAGCGGTGACCAAATGGTGGGGAAAACATCAAGCCATTGCGACTATATAGCACTGGTCAGGATAAGGATTTGGGATGGGACGGGGGAATGGAATGGTGCCCATCCATTTGAATGGTCGGGGATTGAACGCCGACCTGCATGAAGCGAGACCGTCGCTCTACCGTCTGGCTCAAGTGGTTGGGCGTCACGCATATGGAATGTGTTGGAGGTATGACCAAGTCAGTGGCCCTGCCTCTACCATGGCATCATCTGGTCAGTGGTGGTGATACAGTGGTAGAGTAATAAGTTGGTAATACCTTGGCGGAGGGTTCGAGTCGCCTCACAGCCCCAGTGGACCTTCTCATTGATGTATTTCACATTAGTGTGATTTTCTGTGTGTACGTGGTGGAGGAAGTTGAAACTAATACCATAATAGGTTTAAATGCAACGTAAATATGATAACAATGTAGATGTGCAGATATCATTGGATTAGATGACCAACCAGCCCGTCTTCAAATGTTGTCACAAAGATGAATAATTACTCGAACCGAACCAAACAGGTTCAGACAAATTAATAACACCGTCCACGAATGAAAACATGACAGTTGAGTTATTTATTGTGGACCCCACAATAAATAACTATATATATAGTTACTCGCTATATTGTGAGTAACTAACTCACAATATGGTGAGGCCGCTCCAGACCGACAACCAGAGCGCAACTCCATAGTCTCCCGAGACTGATGGATGCCTACTACTACTACATACTCACCCCGTGGGCGGTGGTGAATTGATGCAGAAAGCGTGATTATGGGAGACTTCAGCTCCAGGGTTACGACTTGGGCAGTGAGGGAGGCAGGAGGCTGATGCATAAACAGCCGGGACAACAGACTCGTTGTTCATGTGTCAACATGTGAAGTAGATACCAGAGGCCAGATTCACGAAGCAGTTACGCAAGCACTTACGAACCTGTACATCTTTTCTCAATCTTTGGCGGCTTTGTTTACAATTATTAAACAGCTAATGAGCTCCGAAGCGCCGGGAGGCTGTTTATAACAATAACAACAGTTGATTAAGAAGTTTTCCTGCTTGTAAACTATTTAACACATGTAACCAAAGCCGTCAAAGATTGAGGAAAGATGTACACGTTCGTAAGTGCTTGCGTAACTGCTTCGTGAATCTGGCCCCAGATCGTGAAAAAAAAAAATCGTCGATTACACTATGTAACACAATGCCTTGGTGGCATTTATTGCCTTTGCCTCCTTCCTCTCATCACAATCGACTTGAGAATGGTCCAGGACGGACCGAAACGTCGTCGTCTCTTCACTTTCTAGTGTGTGGTCTGGCCAACATTTTTCAGCCACGTTATTGTGACTCCTCGTCAGCATATAACACAATGTTTGCCCCTTGGTAGAGGGAGTTGTGACACTCACAGCTCTGGATAAGGGGTCGGAAACCTTCAAGCACCTTTAAGACATCTTCCCTTAACTGTCTAAGACAAAGGTCAAAGCAAAAGTGTGAGGCGAGCAATAGCCATTGTCTATACTTTGGAGCCATAAGCAATTAGAAAATAACACTACCCAGGGATCCCAAAAGTTGCATAGTGTTATGATCATAAGAGAAAACTTTGATATGTTATCAGTCCAGTAGGCAAGAGTAACCATGTAGTTATGAAAAGTAGGTAAGTTTTTAATTAAGCATGATATAGCGCTCAATAGCTCTTACGTTCCAGCGCCGGCCCACAGGCTCAAATGCTATCGTAATGATTAAGTATGTGAATAAAAATTACACAAGATTGAGGTTACCTCCTCGCATGCATTACAAATTAGATATATGAAGATTGCTTTGCGGATCACTGCATCACAACTGCTAGAAAAGTGAGACCCAGGAGCTGAAGCTCGTCTCTGCAGACTGATAGACATACACACACACACACACACTTCAGAAACAAAGCGCGAAGCAAGATAAAGTATCAGTTTGTTACAGAAGTGGTCCGTGAACTGAGATGAGAGAGCTGAGAGAGAAGGTCGAGGGTGCTGAGCCTCACTGTGCTGGGAACGACACGGGGGCAGAGGTGATATCTTAATTCGCACTCATTTTAGAGAGAGCAAAGTGGGTCAAAACGAGAACATGATGGGGAAACCTTGCACCTTAGATGAATCATTGGGATGTGAGCAAGAACTTCTTCACCGCAAGAGGACTCAGCTAGAAGGGCAAGTTGTAGTTTAGGTGTAATAAGGAGCGAGAGGGATTTTGTCATCGGTAACCCGCCAAATAAAAGCAGGGGCCCCTGAAGATGATGTATGTCAGTATATACATATAAATCAGTGTGTATAGGTGAGTGAACACACGGGGTATGATGATTACATATATAAGAAACTCGAGAAAGGGATACAATTGAGTGATAGACTGGCGTAAGAGAGAGAGAATCAAACGAGGGGGGAAGGGACACTAAAGGCACTGGAAGCTCAACCAAGCACAAGATTTGTGTTTATAGTACACGCATATACGCTCACACCTCCTCAGTATCTCGAGATTGTCTTCACTTAAGTTATCCTTAAAAGGGTTAAGCTCACGGGGCTCACATCTCGGGAGTATTATCTCATCTGGTGGCTGGATGTGATTATGACGCTTAGCACGTTCCTGGAACCCCAACGCTGGAGAATGTTGTCAGACGGGTAGACTGGCCTGAGGGGACGTGTCGAGTTGGGGAAGGGGTGGGACGGGTAGTCTGGCCAGGGGGTTGGCAGGGGACGTGGGGGGAAGGGGGGAGGGACGGGTAGGCTGGCCTGGGGGGTTGGCAGGGGACGTGGGGGGAAGGGGTGGGACGGGTAGTCTGGCCTGGGGGGTTGGCAGGGGACGTGGGGGGAAGGGGGAGGGACGGGTAGTCTGGCCTGGGGGTTGGCAGGGGACGTGGGGGGAAGGGGGAGGGACGGGTAGTCTGGCCTGGGGGGTTGGCAGGGGACGTGGGGGGAAGGGGGAGGGACGGGTAGTCTGGCCTGGGGGGTTGGCAGGGGACGTGGGGGGAAGGGGGAGGGACGGGTAGTCTGGCCTG